ATATATATATATATATATATATATATATATATATCTATATATATATTTCAGGTATATACATATATATAATATATATACGTAGACAATTGTTGTTCACGGAAAAAGATCAGGTATCAATACATGTACACATACTTAAGCCCATCTGTAACATGTATATATACACGTATATAAATGCTAAATGGCTAGTGTCTTCCCTATCGAAATGGCTTCATTCTATACCAAAGGTTCGAATCCTGTTGTGATTCAAGCTATGCAATGCTTCAAGTTTCGACACAATTGGAGTTGATATGTCTTTAACTTTGCCCCCCGGCACTTTGAACAGGATTTCGCACAATTTTCCTATACACACAAATTGACATGCAGCTTAAATTGGAGTATACTGTGGCGATATGAGCTATGTATCGGTTGTAATCTTTCTTGACAAATTGGCTATATTTCTCGAAATTGTCCTAAAACTCATACCGTGAAGTGCTATGTAACCCTAATTTGAGCACACCGTGGCGACACGGTTCTAATCTTTATTAACACAATTGGTGATATTTCTCGCAATTGTCCTAAAATTCATACCGTGAAGTGCTACGTAGCCCGAATTTGAGCACACCGTGGCGATACGGTTCCAATCTTTCTTAACACAATTGGTGATATCTCTCGCAATTGTCCTAAAATTCATACCGTGAAGTGCTATGCAGCCCTAATTTGAGCACACCGTGGCGCTACGGTTCTAGACTTTCTTTACACAATTTGTGATATTTCTCACGATTGTCCTAAAAATCATACCGTGAAGTGCTATGTAGCCCTAATTTGCAATACTCGGATGTGTGCATTGCAGGTTCCCAAGGAGCCGCCCGTGTTCCAGCCACAGTCCAATCAGCTGCGCAATGACATGGCGGAGGAACGCGCGCGACTGGTCTATGCACAGCAACATCAGGTACACCATATGTTACTATGAGTATCACGGATATGGTGTGTATGGGTGTGTGTGTAATATCATCAGGTACACTATATGTTACTATGAGTATCACGGATATGGTGTGTAACCATATGTTACTATGAGTATCACGGATATGGTGTATATATATATATGGGTGTGTGTGTAATATCATCAGGTACACTATATGTTACTATGAGTATCAAGGATATGGTGCATATATATATATATATGGGTGTGTGTGTGTGTAATATCATCAGGTACACCATATGTTACTATAAGGATCACAGATATGGTGTGTATGAGTGTGTGTGTAACATCATCAAATACACCATATGTTACTATGAGTATCACGGATTTGGTGTGTATGGATGTGTGTGTAATATCATCAGGTACACCATATGTTACTATGAGTATCACGGATATGGTGTGTACTCTCATCAGGTACACCATATGATACTATGAGTATCACGGATATGGCGCGCGCGCGTGTGTGTAATATCATCAGGTACACCATATGATCCTATTTGTATCACGGATATGGTGTGTGTGTGTAGGGAGGTGTGTGTGTGTGTGTGTGTGTGTGTGTGTGTGTGTGTGTGTGTGTGTGTGTGTGTGTGTGTGTGTGTAGAGAGAGAGAGGTGTGTGTGTGT